AGATAGGGAATATACACTCATGATAAGAATCAGTGACGTAAGAAGCGGTAGTACCCGAGGCGGGAAGATCGACCTTGTTTGTGGCACGCTCGTCGCTATCGCGATAAATACAAACGAGAACACACAAACGAAGATGGTACCGAGAATCGCTCAATGGCTCGAAGCTCCAATGATTTTCGAGATCATTGACGGTGGCAGATCAAACAGCGCACAAGACAACGGAAGGCTGTTGCGTAGTCGAAGAGCCTTCCGGGCTCGTTGAGGCTGGAAGGCAAGAGTAGGGACTCGCTCCTGGACGACGACAACTAGTGAGAGAGGAGCTAACGAAGACCTAGCTAGCCGGTTGTCAGGGGGAATCGAAGTCGCACTAAGTCCGGTGGAATGAAGATTTATGGCTTGACGTCGGGGAAGACCGTCGTGACGCCATCGGAACGCTGAGGCAACAAGGGCGCCGCGAGCTGCCGACAGCATCGCTGCGCTCTCTGAGCGGGAATTGTGTTTGTAAATACGGTTGACCTTAATTTGTGGGCGCGTCATGGCACCATTCCGACCGAAGACATGATTATCCACAGCATGATCCCGTCAGCACAGAGACAGATAATGAGCGCCCTAAGTCATCATTCCGTTGATCGGCTAATCTGTAAATGGGTGATCAGACGAATTGGAACGATCAACGAACCTCACAGCTGCGAGCTGTGGAGCGGTAGCGCGAGCTTACTCTCGAGAGAGCTCATTTGAAATTTTCTGTGCTCGCTCCCTCTCGACGTCATCGCTGACCATTGAACACTCTTGCAGATGAAGGTTGAATGGAGTGAAAATCAAGGAACGAAAAAAGAGAGACAATCACATCGACTCAGAGAGACGCCATTTGATCTTAAGGTACGACGACGCAGGCGATGTTCTCCTTGGAATTGACCCTGCAACCAAGGTCCGTCAGGATCTAGTCTGGAGCTGGAAATGTTGGTTCCTCGTGGTACTGGGCCCACCAGGGTACTCAATCCGCGTGCGTTAGACCGGTACTTTGGAGGAATAGTCGCCGATTAATTCTCGGAAGGAATGTAACGGAAGCTTCGAATAAACATTTTAACATATTAGTTATACGTGTAACCTAGATTTACATAGCGGACGCGCATCGAACGCGACCTTAAGTGCTCGGTACGGTTTCAAAGAGATTCAATCCTATTGAAACTCTGAAACGGCTGACCGCTCGAGTCCTCTCTAGGAAGTCTGAGGAGGCTCGAGCTCCGAAGTCCGCTCCCGGTTATGGATGTCTGTCAGGAAGAAGAACTCGCGAGCGTCGGCGTCGTGAGGACCGTACACGTGGACCGCCCTGAGTTTACGCTGGGATTCAGTCATTCATCCTGATTTGAATGCGGAGGGAAGCTGAGCCAGATATTCCGGGCAGGCAGGCTGAGCAGGCAGCCTTCCCCAACTTCGGGACTCAAGGGGATCTGAAGATTCTCCGTGGGATGGTTCACGCTAATTTATCAGTTAGATCACCGAGACTCGAGACGGATCTCATGAGTCACGAAAGCTTCGGAACTGACTGAGTAATCTACCTCTGGTGATTCCGTGCATGGAAGAGTCCGGGCTGAGGTCGATCGTGGCCCGATTGAAACCAAGGCCCGTCAGTTGGGCTCAGATACCTCCTTTTTCACATTCCTAGGTACGACCAATCCATCCATCATCAGCTTCATGCCCACTGCGTCCCATTTATGTGAGGCACGACAGCAGCTGTATTTGGAAATTGATCGAGGCTCGAACGCACTGGTCACGAGGTTTCGCATTAAGCGCAATTTCCCTCGCAGTCACGCCGTACAACTAGGTCCGAGGCGTGCCCTCAGGCTCGGAATGTTCCTTACATCGAGGGCAAGACTAAGCTTGCGTACTGCAAGTCCGGCGGATATTCATACTAAACTTCGAAATGAGGCTTCAGTTTGAGCATAGATCTTAGGATTTGGATGGAAAAGAGAAACTCCCATCAGCGAGAGCGCCCAATTTCTAGAAGACTCCCGCATCTAAGTAGAAGCGCATCGTATGTAAGTAAGCCGGAGTCACGCTCCGAATCTCCTTTTGACTTTCCGTTCCCTTCCACCTATGCTTCGAGTACGCCGACCCCCTCCCAAACTAATCGGTGTTCCGGACGCTAAGTCGATACTCCTGAGAAATCTCACATGAACACTTCAAAGTCTCTCATCTTCCGCACCGTGCTCGGTGGTCTCCGCCGGAGCAGAGTTTGTACCCGGACCGTCGGAGATTTTCCACTCTTTTCCTAACCGTCTCCCCACGCTTCGGGTTTCGGTCGAGAATTCGGAGATAAAAATCAAATTCGACTGCGCGCTCCGGATCAGCGGATGGCGGGCGGACGGGCGGGCGGGTGATATTGATGTTGAAGTCACTCGCTCCCTCTGAATGATTCCTCTTCCCATCTGGGCTCCCATCGCGGAGTCCCGGGGGCATATCTCGAAGCATATTTGCGAAATCTATTCTTCTCGTCTATTCTACTCTCTGCAGCGATCCGAAGTGTTTGATTTTGGTCGAGAGAAAACGAAAACTTCCCAACGTAAAGTCCACGATCGCTGATAATGCGATAGGAAACGATCGCTTTCCATCGGACGTTCAATGATGGAAACGGGGGCCGCCGTTCGCTTCGGACTTTCGGAAAGACGAGCGAGGCGAACCGAAGTGTGAGGCGGCGACAGCGGATCGAGTTTTTCGGTTCCGGTGCGATTATGTACGGCTTTCGCTGAGAAAGTCGCTCCCGGGAATTCCACTTGGACTCAGTCGCCTCCGGGGTGAAACCCAGAAAGACATTCTCGAGCCAGACATTTGAGAGCTTGGGTTATCTGCATCGCAATACTGCGGCCGGAGCTCTCTAGTTGAGGCTCGAAAATATAACAGAGCGCTGCGACTGTTCTGTGACAACTCATAATTCCATTTATCCACCGTGATCCACTGAATTCGAGCTGGTCTTCTCTTGACTGACGATAGTGAGAGAGAATCTGACGGGAATGTTTCAAGCTTGAGGGTCTCCGAGGACCAAGGATCTCCATAGACCGAAAACCATGAGTCACCTCGAAGCTCGGGGAGAATAGAGCGTGCGTACTCCTTGCACTCCCTTGCCACTCAGAGTAGAGCAAAGGGGATATCGAATCGATTCAGGATAACCCGATATCTCAGACCTCGAATAATATTTCTTACGACTTAGGACTGATCGCGGCAGCCGACCTCCTCGCAACATGTTCGCCGTGATATATTTTGATTCATTCGCCCCTAGCAAAAAGCCGGGACAAAGCACAGATATGCTGTGATTGCGAATCGAATGATTGGAGCGACAATCGATTGAGCGTCTGATGAAGACTACCAGCTTCCTCATAAGTCGCTTGCAGGCGCACCATTCTCGCAAGGCGAGCTTAGCTTCCGGAAGCAGCCGCTGGAGCCGCTCATATTCGAAGGAAAAAAACACTCGAGACCACAGAGCGCGGTAGCTCTGGAGCTCGAGCCCAAGGCAGAGTGACAAGGTCCTCGGAAAACGTCCGAACCGAACCGATCAGTCAGGGAGATCAAGGAGAAGAAGCCCCACGTGTCCCTCTGGTGAGGAATGGGGAATGCTGATGGATTCAGTCTCCAAAGACACGAAAAACGCTTCCGAGTAGACTGCGTGGGGAAATTCAAAACTTCATCTTCCATCCTTCATCTAACTGGTCTCCTCATTGAGAAACTCCCGGGATGTAGAGTGCGAACATTCTCGCGCCGTCGGGTCCCCCGAAGAACGGGGTTGACGTCGAAGACGAAAAACTTGAGACTCGATGGCTCATCGCTCCCCGAGGCTCCGTGAGTGTTTCGGGTACTCGAAAAAGGAGTAAGCGCCGCCCGCCACGAAATTGAATGGACGAATACGGGCATGAGCGTGAGAAACGGCACGCAAGAAGATCCTCGAGGTCATTCCGCCGGCTGGAGACATGCCACCAATGACTGCGATCGGATTGGTGCTCACACACACAGCCGACTCGACAAGCACTCGACGCGTGCTTGACCCCGATTCATCCGCTCACAATCATCCGCTCGCGAAATTCATTTCTCTTGAATGATCTCTGATCTTTTTATGTTCAAGAGCAAACAACTAGCTCTCCCCTACCCCGATCGGAGAGCCCGGAGAGCCCTCGAACGAACATGCGGAACGCTGACGACGATTGACTCCGAATGACGACCGGATCCTTCCTATGATAGGGTTCTATACAGGATGGAGCTACTGCATCGAAGAGCTCAATTCCATCCATCTTTTGCATCTACGGTAATAGTGTGGGTATCTAGTTTCGTCGAAAAGCTCTGTCATTCTCTCGCCCGGGCGGCTCATGCTCCGAATCACGAACGCCTCTCCGCTGGAATTCTTGGACAGCATGAGCGTTGGAGGTCGTTCTGTACGCCCCGAGATTCCGGAAGAAAGAAGAAAAGATTCGAAGCCGACTGTTTCTTTTGGAAGAGCTGATGATAAGCCTCGATGATCGCCGAAGGGTATGACTTCCAAAAAAAAGTTATCAGATGTTCTCATCAAACACGTCTCACTGACTTCTATGGTCTCCGGGTCAAGGCGTCCGATATTTTCGGGCTAGCGGCGAGAGATAAAGAGAAATTATCGAATGACGAGCGCTTAGAAAAGAGAACTCCCGCTCGGTTCTTGATCCGAATTTTTCCTCCTCATTGACAAATCCTTCAGAGCCTCATCCGTTCGACTGAGGATGATACATGGGTGATAATGCGTGACAAGAAGGTGGCCGACTGAGACGACCGGCGATATTGAGACTGGCTCCCGTACTGTAGTCAAGCCGTCTAACGCCTTCCTATCAAGTCATTAGCTCACATGGTTTTCCCGGGAACGAAACGACATCCATGAAGAGTTCATAGGCTCATGGCCACCGGGCATGATTGCCACACTCGATTCTCGCGTATGGCGATCAGAGCGTACACGATCATGATGTCATTTTGCGACCATGGGCTTGTCAATCATTGGGAACACTTGTCGAATTTGTCGTCGAGTTCAAAGCTGTTGAAACGAGACGGTTGATCGTCCGCATCGCTTTAGGGTTCATTTGAATCATGATCACAATGTATGTTGTCAGAGCAGCGGCTACACTCAGAATGAAACTGCGGCTTATGACGAAGAAATCCCAGCCGGTGAGCACGACGGGCGAGGCACTGAGTCTGGAATCGGGGATACACATCATCTATTAGGGACGAATTACGTTAGGATGGAATCTCCCGACCCAGAAAATAATTCGAGCTTTCACGTTTTGCGCTTATAAGCGAAAGCCCGCTCGACGAGCGAGAGGTCAACGTCTTGATCTCATTGCTTTGTTTACAGCCGAGACGGAGCCGGTTCCGAAGCCTATCGCGCACTCAAGCGGCGCTAGTCGGCCGGTCATCAGAGAATCACAAAGAACATGCGTGTATCCATTTTCCTCGGTATTTCGCACTAATAGCCCAGCGTCACTGGTCTCGAGCGGATCATTGTGAACATTTTGCTTGAGTCAATGCACCCGAACAAAATACTAAGGCACCCGACCTTGAACTTCTACTCAGCGGTTAAGCTCGTGTGAAAACCCCAGAGCGAGGCGGCACTTTCCCCGGTTCCGAACCGATTCCCCTCTCGAAGGCTCGACGTGATACGGTTTATCGGCTCAGTGACCGGCTCGTGGTGGCTTAATACCTCGATAAGAAGAAATGGGCTTCCATTTTGGTGTTCATGTCGAGACGAGATGAGCGCAGCGTCAATGTGTGCAGGATTGGCAGAGGACGCAGGGCGTTTTCGGACACCTGCGCCGCCGCTATGCAGGTCCCGAGAAATGTCAGAAACGAGTAGACAACTCTCAGACTGAAGAGAAAGGTTTCCTCCTGTCTTGCAGAATCGAGCAGCTCGTGATCGCTGCGTGCGAGCATGGAAGAAGGAGACATTTGTTTTCGGGCGTCTCAGTTGGTTCTCCTCTGCTCTCGCACCGCTTTCGGAATATACGGGGAAAAGTGGTCTCGGACGGAACTGAAGGAATGGCTCACCTGAACAATTGAGTGAAATCTACGCATATACTGAGCACGATCTTGATATACCAGGCGAATACAATTCTGCCGAAAGCGCGATTGACGTCCAGCGCCAGCGCGCAAACCCGTTCGTAGAAAGCTCGGATGTTCGCCAAATCATCGGCGACCATCACTGAAAAAAAAGATCTATCGACTGCCGTCACCTTGATCTCCATTCACGGAATAGTGAAAGAAAATTTAGTGGGGAGAGACCTTGCCCGAATTCCCGAATCAGAGAAATTCAAGCGACGGGCTATTTGAAATCTCTTGTTGAACTTCGATGTCGAATATTAAGAGGCGCATGTAAGTTTTTTTTAGCGATCAAAACCCGATGATACTCACATCTGGCGAGACTCCTCTGCATAGATTTGAGCCTACGGCAGTGGACATTGAAGGAATGAGACAATACGATACAGAACGCCATGTAGTAAATCGGAACGAAGACCAGCGTCCCGTTAGTGAAGAGATTGTTCAGATACCAATAAAGTCCCACCAGCAGGAGCAACGTCCGTGGACTCGACGAATGCGCCGCCTCCACCCCGTACACGTTCTGTTGTTTCATCGAAAGGGGATTTTAGTTTCCCGAATGTCGAACAATCGATCCGCGACCATTACAACGAATCACTCGAGCCTCGTCCGGGGAGGAAGAACGCTCAGCATCCGGGCAAGCCGGATATCGGATAAGCTCCATACGCTCTCGTACACACGAACGTATAGTGGTCGGAGGAGCGTCCGACGACCATGCTGAATAGATATCGACGCTAAACACCTCTGGGATCTATCTAAGGAGCAGCGCGTGCATACATCCGTACGTATGTACGTACCTTATAAGCCTCTCGAGGTATCTGATTGTTGAGTACCCAGCACAAGGCCACAAAACGCGCGCACATATAGATCCAGCCCACGACGATGAGTGATACTACAGCAAACGAACAAGACTCTCCCCGATCGGGAAGACTCGCTAATAGAGATATAGATCGGATACGTATCCAATTCAGGCGACGACCCGAGCACAGAAGAGTTACTGAACAGATCAGAGCGCATACCGACGATAGTAGCTGGGACAGTTGAGACAAGAGGAAGCCCTGCAGAAGAAGGAGGACCGTCATGAAATAAGCTTCCTTGTCCTATTTCGACTGTCATACTCGGTCGGGCTTTCGGCGCGAGATATCGGGGCTATCGAGAGATCGCGACCGGAACGACGAAAAGGATCCGTGACGATGTGAGAGGAATGGTTCGCCGGAGGGAACTTGAGTGATGGGAAAAAAAGGATACGCGTGACGGGGCGCGAGTGGAAGATGAAAGGCCGAGCGGGAAAAATTGCACTGAACAGTGAATGATGTACGTCGTGCGTGTGTTGTCTTTTATTGGCGACTTGTTTGTTCCTCGATTCCCCGTCGCCCCCACGTCGGACGTTTCATGAGATCGCTCGCTAGTCATCGTCGTCGGCCTTCTCCTCTTCTGTACACGACGACCTCAATGAATCGCAAACACAGCCGCTTGATAAATATGTACACCTCATCTCGGGTCGAGCCTCGTTGGCCTCCATGATTCCCGCCGGAGGCGCCACCCTCGAGCCTTCTGTACTCGATGAGCGAATAATTACGCCGGCTCCGGAAAACTGTCAAAGTTCTGCGGCTCGCAAACGCACGTCACTGGCTTAAATCACAATCACGTCTGGATGTACGGAATTGTTCGGCCGAACCATCGATTCTCGATTTTCCATTCACTCATTCAATCGGTCTCCTCTTAGTCGTAATTCGGCCGCACAAGTCGCGTGCCATTCGGAGTTGCCGAGGTACTGTCGAGTCGTGTCGACCATGCGGCAAAGAGTCTGACGCAGAAGCAGAAATTATGCGCCACGACGAGAGATTAACATGAACACTGACGCTACTGAAGTGCTGAAAAGTCCTGAGCTTTTTGATCTCCGCATGTAATTTACCTGGAAGGTGCTATGAACCAACCCGAAGACGACCAGTCCGATGTTCAACAGTTGGAATAACAGACTCAGGAATGGAAAAGTGATGCTGAAAGTTTTCAGCACCTGAAATAGAAAATGAACTCCGATCAAAGGCACCAGGACGGAGACGTTGAGATCCCTCCGAGCCTCGGGAGGATGAATTGATTCGGGCACCGGGACTCGTTCCGATCAGATATTCCGGAATAGATGCTGTTCGTCGAGGACAGGCCGAGAAGCACAATGATCTTCTCTTTCCCGGTTACAGTTGTTCGTTCGAGCGACAACGAAATGGAATTCTTCTCACCGTACTTGAGGTCTGTGCAACCACGTAGACCCCGACGATCCTCAGCGACGCTGCCACCGCCACGAGGGTATCCCTGTCGCAAGCCTTATCCTTCGAGATTTTCGCGCTGTGCGAAGGCTCCCCGACTCGGTTGGGCCCCCTCCTGGAAAAAACGCCGAAACTCAAACGAAAATCCCGGAGCTGGAACTTCGGCACGCCACTCGGGTCCTGGGACTCCCATTCTCCATTCTCCGGACAGTGGCTGGAGTGAGTTCGAGGCACGGTTGGTGCTCTCGTCGTTCAATATGAATTGTTCCTTCGATCAGACACGTCAGAAGTCTGGTAGCTTCCCCGCACGCCACAAAATCAGCTTTTTGTGGTGACGGCGGTGCGGTGGCCACTTTTCCCTCTCGACTTTTGCGGCATTGTGAGCCGAGCGAAGCGGAGGAACGAGCGAAAATGTGGGAGATTCGCCAGATGGCGATTCGCTTGGGGAGCAACTCGACAGGCAGACCTTTCTGGTCGCGTGGCAGCTACGCGGCCCGAGTTGTAGGCGATCGTAGGCGAGTGTGCACATGTCAAGGAGGTTGCCGGGAGGTCAGGAGTTCCCAAGGAGCACACAATGATCAATCAGAATGTCTGCGATTTGAGAGGCATAATCGTTGAGTGAAAATCTAAAATCGCCACCTGAGCCGCTTTTGAACGAGAGACGGGAGCTTTGCCGCACCTCAGCTCCAAGCACGAAAGCTACGCCTTGTGAAAAGTTTCTGAGAAGAAGACTTCTACTTTGAGCTGGAATGCAAAAGACATCCTGATCTTCGGGGAACAATGGAGGTACTTTTCGAGAGAAACCTGAAGTCACATAGGGAGGTACGAAGATTCTCAAACATTTATGGCTTGCAGCCGCCCTCTGGATGAGCTCTCAGCGTTGCATCCACGGCCTGTCGGCATCCCCTGAGACGACTTTCATGCAGGTCCGAGGATCGCCCCAGGGCCCAACGCGGCTTGTGGGCCTCTTTGGTACCGCTGGTATCGAGAAAATGGAGCGGGAGGCCATGTCGGAATCTCTGTTTAATTCACGACATGATTAAGTATTAGGAAGACGAAAATCATAGTGTTATTTGGTCAATGCTTTGATTCTCTTCCATTCTTGGCCCTGCATGGTCTTTCTGACAAGGGCAGCCCGAAATCTGAGCGCCGGAAATTCGCGATTAGACTCGCGGAGCTCGGACGGGCAAAGAGACCCGAGCGAGGCACTCGGCGTTCCACCGGCAAATCGTGCGCTCCACGCCAGCTCATTGCGACCGCGGCGTAAAATTCGGCACCGGGCTTCCGATGGGCGCAAAACATAGAAGATGGAAACTCGGTACGATACGTTTGGTGAAAAGAACACTACCACGGATTTTTTCCGTACTGCATCCTTCGGCACGGCGCGGCGCTAAATCAACGGGGCAAGAAGCGGCGGCCCTCCGGATCAGGCACGGACAGGGGAGGGCAAGAGCTCTTAATAGTTCCATATCCTCCTGCCCTTAATTCGTGAGCACCTCGACACTCCGAGGTTCGTCCCTATGAATTAAATGCGAAAATTGACAGGGTGCGAGCCACCCATGTCTCAGGTATGCGACGACATAATCGAGTATCGTCTGCGAATTCAGTCTGTCGCAACATTGACGCAACGCCAAAGCGCCGAAGTACGATTGAAGCCTCATGATCGAGGATTCGTCGGCCATTCCGATCCTCTTGAGATCTGGAGAGATCTCGACATTCATGAGATCGCCAATCTGCCTTGAAGAAGTCAATGCAGGGTAAGCAGGATCTTCGTTGTGCCTTGTGCCTGATCGAGATAGTTTGCGAAATCACGACCACACGGGGAGTCGTCCGAACCTCCTGCTGACCAGACCACTTCGCGACAACAGGATGATCCAGTACTTACCGTTTTAAATACATCGTCGTCTTGTGCAGTCTGAGTGCCGTCCTATAGAACTTGTCCATGGCAGGTATAGAGCACATATGGGAGACAGGGCAATGCGGTGCAGCGCCAACGTGGATCGTGTGAGCTTATCAACGTGAGAGCCTTCTCAAGAATTAGGTTACTCATCGACAAACACCGCGAAAGCTACAGATCAATGAAGTCTCGAGACCCAGAAAACTCCGATGTGATGGATATGACGAGAAAATAGTATTCAGTCAACATCGGATAGAGACCTGGAGTATTTCTTTCTTGCTCTCAAGTGAGTCTCACATTCGACGGATTCCCCGAGTGACCATGAGAGGTCGGGATGCTAGAACTATCGTTCCAAGACTGTTGGAGAACTTTTAAATTGAGAGTTTGCTCCCGAAGCCCTCGGAGCCGGGGGCTCGAGCTCCTTCCACCAGAACGGGAGTTCGTGCGGCCCACGGCCAGCGGACTATGTCATCCCGTTAAAGAGAGAGAGGGAGACAGAGACAGACATATAATATGTGCCAAATTCTTTAGCTGCTTGAGGCGGTCGGCCGGTGAGTCCGGGACGACCAAAGGGACGAAGGTACGAAGAGATGCGGGTGGACGAGAGATGGAGGAAAAAGTGGCAAGCCAGGACTTGCGCCACGCTGTTCAGAAACCGCCAAAGGTTGAGCCTGCCGGGGAGAGAGTTCCCAGTCCTTCAAACCATGCTTCGCAGCATATAGGCGGTGACGCGAGGCCTGAGGAAGTGAATAAGGGAATTCAGATATGTATGTACGTCTTCTCTGCCGTCGTCATCGTCACTGCCGCCCTCACAAGCGCCGGATGCAGCGTCCTCAGCAACAAGGGATGGACGTCCGGAGAAAACGCAGAAAAAGGTGGGGGGGGGCCATGCCACTGACGACCGGTTGGGTTTGTGGACGCAGCCTATTTGGAATACAGAGTACAAAGTAAGGAAAAAAGTCGCCGACCTGCTCAAAGCCAACAACACTCACCCGGTGGTGCACTCTTATATTGCCTCAGCCGCACGCACCCAGCTAACCAACCGAGGAACGCTCTTCCCCACCCACCCTACCGCTATATTCAGTGGGGATTCGCTCACGACCGGAGAAAGTGGAGGGAGAAGCGACCGTTGAGCAGGAACACGAACGGATTGCAACGAAGGCGGACTCATGGAGGCAGCGACCTTCAATATAGGATACGGAGCTCGGGCCTGGGAGAGCTTGGAAACCCTGGAAATTCGAAAACTCGGCCATTTGGTCTGCGGGGGTTCTGCGAGAGTTTCTGTTTAATTCAAAAAGATCTTCCCCGCGTCGCGCCGGACGCTAGAAAATTGAAGCGCAAATTAAATGTGCAGCTGATGCCTCCGGCGAGGGACCGGCTCGTGGTCAACGGAAAATCGTCCCGACTCCTCCCCGCGAACTGCTCCCAGTCTCACCGATGTGGGAGACCGATTCCGCGTACGCCGACGGTACAGCCGGCGACATCGTCGACGGCGTCTCCATGCAATCAGCATCATCTTCTTCACCATCGTCGTGGTCGTTGTTGTTATTTCGGTTTCCTTCTACTCCCGCAGCAGATGCCTCGACTCAGCCACCGATCAGGAACAACTGCGAACAGCTGTCCACGCGCAATTGTCAACGACATTTTGTCTTTTTTCTTACTCCGCACTCACGCTTCCCGTCTGTTGCAAACATCTAGCGCTGTTTGCTAAAGGCGAACCGCCCGAAATGTCAACTGAGATGGAGAGGAACAGGAGCGCAGAAGAATCGAAACGAGCTGCGGAAGATACAGAGCGGCTCGAGAGATAAAACGTGGAATGTCGTAGATCTACCGAAGAAGTAGCATCGAGCGAGGTTTTTCAGTTCGGAGCGGTCGAGGCAGACGGTGACCGGTTTCTGCTTCTGTCCGGACTGGCAATGTCACTGTAGCGAGTGAACAACGGACTGCTGACACTGAACGAATATGTTTCTGTCGAGGAGTTTCCCGGGAACCTAATGAAGTCGAGTCGAAGCTCCCTAAAAATTGAATTCTTTCTGCTTGCGCTGCTCTCAGCGATTTTTATTCCCTCGAAGATCCAACTCATCTCGTCCGCGTCGGATATCGCTCTTGTTCGGCTATATTCTTTCGAGGGACATATACTGCTGTTATCCTGCTCTGACCCCATCGGTACGAGCTCTACGGTCGAGTCTGAGGTTGGGACGGGCATTCGGATCGGGAACGTAGCCATCGATTTGATCGGAAAGCAAACGCAAGAGTCTTCTCTGTCTAGGAGTATTATTTCTTTCCGAGAACTGAGCGGCGAGAGGACTCGAGGTCTAAACTCCAGCCGCCAGCCTTGGATTGACCGAGAGCTCAAGGCTACCTTCATTGTTATTTCGTTGACCTCTCCCCGCGCTGAAAAACGACCAGATCTTCGGTCAAGTAGGCATCAGGTTTTCCGGAATGCGTGCGCCCATACTACAGAAGGCGGAAATCCACCTAGGGAATGCTCGTACGGAGATCCTGAACCCGAAACACTCAACAATTCGGAGTCCGGGCCTTCGTGTACTACGCAGTTTATCCTTCTCGAGGTAGCGCAGATTTTCCTTCCGCTCTTCTACTGGAGCCTAGTTGGCCCGTTGTCACGAGCGCCAGAACGAGGTTCCGTGTTGTTCGGTCATCCTTGCTGCGTCTTCCACTACTGGCCAAGAAGATTGCGTGAAGCCTGGAGTTGTTGCTCTCACGCTAGATTGTTGCAAATTGCGGGACAACGCAAAACGCGGCTATTTTGCAGGGATACTAATGAAGAATCCCACCTGCACCAGACTCAGGCTCCCCTTACATTCGGACGTAGACTCCCCTCGAGCTTAAATGATCGACTGTGTTCGAAGCTCTCATTCACTCGTATTTCCGACCCCCTGTAAAATCCTTCGTTCGGGTCTATGTATTCACACGATTTGTCCTAGCTTGATACAGGATACGAAAGAGATGATGAGCTCAGCCTAGGTATGAGACTTTCTTCGTCTATTACGAGTTTCGTCGGTCGGCTCTTCCCCCCCTCATCCAGGTTACGCTGTGATTCAAAGTGTAAGCATTCTGTAGCGTTATACAAGGGGCAAGGGCCATCAGAGAAGTTGCATAAATCATTCGGATCCTCAAACTCGCAGCGAATCCCCAGACTCTTTCGAGGGATGTTGCTTCCGTTCGCTCCAAGTCTGCGGGCTCCTTCTACTCTAGGT